TATTTCCCTGCACTGAGGGGAAAATGAATTCCGGCCGCTCATAAATATGCTCAGCATTTTTAGTTACTACAATAATAGGGGTAGTGTTCTTTTAACTCTTACAGGGCTTACTGGGAATATTCAGCTGCCTTTGAAAATATCCAGTGAGATTGCTGTTGTTCAAGCTCTGTTTCCCTTGCTAGAAAACACTTCATTTTTAAATACAGCTTTGCATTGGCAAAATCCACGCAGTCGGGATTGTTTCCTGTAGGAAATAAATCCAGGCTGCTGCCATTCAGTGGCAGGGGGGGAAGCCTCTCCTCCCCAGCCGCCGTCACGACGGTTCGCAGGGGGCGTCGACCTGACCGGGAGCTTGCTATCCTTGTGATGCCGCTGCTTTGGCAGCCACCTTGGGGTAGGAGGGGACAAATGTTCTGGTTTGCTGGCTGGAGTCTGGCAGGTTCACTGCGTGACGTATGGACCATAATGTGTAATGTGAACCCTGCATCCTTCAGGAGTGAAAAACAGAGTGTAGGATTTTCTGGGGATTTATTTTTTTTGGTAGATCTGTGGGATTCATAGGAGATTTAATAGCCAGTTGGTGGGATTTAAGCATACATTTAAAGTTAAGCACATGGTAACTGCTACCCTGAGGTGTAGCTGGAATCCACTTGTGAGCTCCTGTTCCCACCACGCTGGAGAAAGCAAATCTTTTTTTATTTGGTGATGAAAGCAACTCAGGGAGTTGGACTGAAGCACAGCACCTTTTTTAAACCTCAGCTCTGAAGTGGCACTGGTCTCACTACATAACACATCCTTCCCTAGGCTTTCACAAAACAGAAATGATACATCAGACTGATCCCACAAACGTACCCTGTACTTTTTTTTATCTCACCTGGAACTTCGGGACATGACCCTACCAGCTGTCTGTGCCACTTGTATGGGAACCAAGGTGGTGTCTTTGCCTTCCAGGTTAAGGATCTACCTTTTTTTAAAAAATTTTTTATTTTTAAATTTTTTTTCAATTTTTAAGTGACTTTAGACATGTCCTTGGGCTGGCTGTTTTAAGTTGGTTTACTGCACAGTTGGTGGAATGGAGGAAAACGGTAAGCTCCACTGCTGCCTCTGGCATTTTCTTGTTACTGTATAGCTCATTTAAGTTGCGTTTTATAAACGTACTTGGCCCTTGTTCAACTTTTTACATTTCCATTTTTGTTTATCTTGAGTGTTGAAACTGTGAAAGGGGCTGATGAGTTGTCCTCCCCGAGTTTGTACCCTCCCCTTCGGAGAGTGCAGTTAATATTCACTTCTTGGCTTTGCAGAGGAAAAAATCCATTAATACACCAGCTCACTTGAATTGCTCTTGTTGGAAACTGATTAAAAGCTTATTGCTGCCTTGTCTCTCACAAATGGCATGCATTCTGGTTCTCGTTTGATGGGCAGCCTGTCAACTTGTCAAACTACTCCATAGAATAATTCAATTACTCCAAGCAGCGATGCTGATATGAGGAGCTTCTGTACCTCATTGCTAGTAATTCTGTGCGTTTTTCGCTCTGCAGGCTGGAACCACAATTTGTGAGTGGGCTGTGGCTTTAACAATGGAAGGCAAAGCTGCTTCGCTGTGTATTTCCTTTCCGCCTCCTCCCTTACCCCCTTCCCTTCCCTCCACCAGGCTATTTTTGTGGTGTACTGAGCTCCCAAACCAAACTGAGGGGAAAAAGAAGCGGGGTGATGTGAGAGGTGTCACAGTCCTTAGTTTGCAGATTTAAATACGTACACCCTATTTGGAAAATACAGCACATATGTGGGTCAGTGGTCCCTGCAGATTTTTATTATTTGTAGCCATATCTATAAATACAGGACTTCACATGGAGGGTTCATGCAGTGCTGTGGTTCTTGTAAACTGCAGTGTTTTTATCCTTGCTACAGTCTGGAGGTAGCAAGTGCCAGCTGATAGGTTACAATGGAAATGAAAGCAAGCGATACACATGTGATGGTGATCCTGCCACAAACTGTGCCATATATTGATCTGGGAAAACACTGCAGTAACTCTCCCAGAGGACAAGGTTTTCAGTACTATTTCTGTATTTCATACCCAAGAGATGTTTTGTTTGGTTTTGTTTTTTTCACCTCTACGTGTATTTCTGTGCAGGCATGTGCGTGAAACAGGTGAAACAGGTGCTTCTCTGTGCTGTAACTGGGACTGATGACAGCTGGGTGGGTGGGAGCATGCGTAATCGCGGAATAAACTTCCTGCGGCTGCCCTGCCGTGTACTTCAGG